GTTTATGGAAGGACGCCAGATGGGGAAAAGAAAGTTCACTACTATAATGAAATAAGCGTTTGTATATCATGTGGACTACTTCTAGCGGCAATCCARGTAAGAAAATGTGTTCAGGTAGTGAAAAAGTAGTATCCAGGTAGTGACAAAGTAGTTTCCAGGGATTAAAAAAGACGTTTCCAGGTAGTGAAAATGTGGTATCCAGATAGTTAAAAAGTAGTCTCCAGGTAGGGAAAAAGTACTTTCCAGGGAGTGAAAAAAAGTGACAAGAAAGTAAAAAGCTATTTTTCAACATGACGTGAGAAACAACAATAGCAATTGTTCAATATGGCATGATGAGAGATGTAGTCCTGGCAGATTTTAATTGAAAAGTGTTTTTTTTTAACGACCAAGACCTGCTTGTGAAAAATGAAAAACGGTTTTCGAGGAGATCAATGTCCCATAATCCTTTGTTGGTTTTAGTCCATACTAAGATTTTTTTGGAAATTTGACTCGTGAAAATGTTCCACATAATAATATCTGCAATATTGAACACATTTGCACTAGTTTTGTCCATTTCACCATGTTCAACTTTATCATTATTTTCCTTCTAGAACGTTGGCCTGGTAACAGTTACAAGTACGCCCATGAATGCTGGACCCAGGCTTCGTGAACTRCTGAATCGCCCGGCCAACGAAAAGCTTCTACTGCTGTTACCAGTTGGTTATCCWGCAAAAGATGCCTACATACCAGACTTAAAGAGGAAGCCTTTGAGTGAAATTATGGTGCATAAGTGACTATAGAAATTTATCCAAAATATAACAAAAAGTCATGTCATGTGATTCAAACGTTTACTTTCATTGGTCGAAAGTGGACCACATGACAATAGTGTGCTCGCCGTGSAGGGATACTATCAGTGCATAGAGCCAGTCCCCTTTGTTGTTATCCCCTATATTTCGTTGCTGAATAATAAAAACAATAGAGCAGTTGAAATTGTTGCTGTTGGTGGTTGAGATGAGGGCACAAGTACTTCAATGCCGTACGTCTTTCAAAAGTACAATCAAAACAGATTTTGTAAAAATGTGGGAGTTACCACCGTTCACCCATTCATCTGTAGAAAATTAAGGCGCGCTACATATCGCAGGTCTATCAT